CCAAGTTTGCACAATGATGAAGACTGATTTTGATTCCCTTCAAATTGTATACATTGGGTGGTAACAAGACCTTTCAAAATGTAAGATTGAGGGTGTTAATATCAGGTCTTGGCTGTGGAGAAATAGAGGATGGACTTTTAGTAAGCATGAACAAAGAACTTGGGGAGTTTCCTGGTGTACATTAGCTGTACTTGTACCAAATGAAGACGGCAATATTTGTAAATATTTGTATATGTCCTTAGATTGATGACTTACTTATATTCAACTTCCCGGACACTTGATATGTCACACCCCTCATCAATCTACTAAAGTAATGGACATGTGACCTCGGTACATAATACTGTATGCCAGTGGCGGTCAGTGACGTTTAAGATGAGGGAGGACACTTAATTTAAAAAAAAGGCATAGTCTTATTTCTATTACAGCATATTGGATGAGTGTCATTGATATTCAATGCACCCAGCTAGGTTTAGGCTACTACATGATATTCAAATGTTCCATATACAGTGGGGAGAACAAGTATTTGATACACTGCCGATTTTGCAGGTTTTCCTACTTACAAAGCATGTAGAGGTCTGTCATTTTTATCATAGGTACACTTCAACTGTGAGAGACGGAATCTAAAACACAAATCCAGAAAATCACATTGTATGATTTTTAAATAATTAATTTGCATTTTATTGCATGACATAAGTATTTGATCACCTACCAACCAGTAAGAATTCCGGCTCTCACAGACCTGTTAGTTTTTCTTTAAGAAGCCCTCCTGTTCTCCACTCATTACCTGTATTAACTGCACCTGTTTGAACTCGTTACCTGTATAAAAGACACCTGTCCACACACTCAATCAAACAGACTCCAACCTCTCCACAATGGCCAAGACCAGAGAGCTGTGTAAGGACATCAGGGATAAAATTGTAGACCTGCACAAGGCTGGGATGGGCTGCAGGACAATAGGCAAGCAGCTTGGTGAGAAGGCAACAACTGTTGGCGCAATTATTAGAAAATGGAAGAAGTTCAAGATGACGGTCAATCCCCCTCGGTCTGGGGCTCCATGCAAGATCTCACCTCGTGGGGCATCAATGATCATGAGGAAGGTGAGGGATCAGCCCAGAACTACACGGCAGGACCTGGTCAATGACCTGAAGAGAGCTGGGACTACAGTCTCAAAGAAAACCATTAGTAACACACTACGCCGTCATGGATTAAAATCCTGCAGCGCACGCAAGGTCCCCCTGCTCAAGCCAGTGCATGTCCAGGCCCGTCTGAAGTTTGCCAATGACCATCTGGATGATCCAGAGGAGAAATGGGAGAAGGTCATGTGGTCTGATGAGACAAAAATAGAGCTTTTTGGTCTAAACTCCACTCGCCGTGTTTGGAGGAAGAAGAAGGATGAGTACAACCCCAAGAACACCATCCCAACCGTGAAGCATGGAGGTGGAAACATCATTCTTTGGGGATGCTTTTCTGCAAAGGGGACAGGACGACTGCACCGTATTGAGGGGAGGATGGATGGGGCCATGTATCGCGAGATCGCGAGATGGGTCGTGGCTGGGTCTTCCAGTATGACAACGACCCGAAACACACAGCCAGGGCAACTAAGGAGTGGCTCCGTAAGAAGCATCTCAAGGTCCTGGAGTGGCCTAGCCAGTCTCCAGACCTGAACCCAATAGAAAATCTTTGGAGGGAGCTGAATGTCTGTATTGCCCAGCGACAGCCCCGAAATCTGAAGGATCTGGAGAAGGTCTGTATGGAGGAGTGGGCCAAAATCCATGCTGCAGTGTGTGCAAACCTGGTCAAGACCTACAGGAAACGTATGATCTCTGTAATTGCAAACAAAGGTTTCTGTACCAAATATTAAGTTCTGCTTTTCTAATGTATCAAATACTTATGTCATGCAATAAAATGCAAATTAATTACTTAAAAATCATACAATGTGATTTTCTGGATTCTTGTTTTAGATTCCGTCTCTCACAGTTGATGTGTACCTATGATAAAAATTACAGACCTCTACATGCTTTGTAAGTAGGAAAACCTGCAAAATCGGCAGTGTATCAAATACTTGTTCTCCCCACTGTATCTATCATGAGGCTACAACCTAGCCTATGAATGAAAGTTTACAATGCAGGAGCACAGGTCGAGACAAAAATGTAAAGTAATCAAGGTGACAGACAGTGACACATTCAATACTCTTGCCTACATCTAGCTGATCTAGGCTGTAATCATTAGTCCAACAGTTGCAAACGAGAGTCTCTATTGTTCAAATTCAGGTATGTTTATCCCCATTTCATTCCGTTTGCTTCCCTTTAAGAAACGTTTTTCAACAGAATCGTTGGAATGAATACACCCCTGATCACATCCCAAACACAGTTCACTTTCATAGCAGCCACATACAAACAGCATGATAATTTTGCTCATTGTAGAATCCTTTCTCACATCTACGCACTCTCCTCCTCTCACCTTTTCCCTTTGCTTGTGGATTTCAGTGCACAACACATCAGCTGTCTGTGACCAGGCGAAAAAACCTTTCCAAGCCAAACCTTCATATCATAACCGCTAACCGCTACACACAGCCTACATCATTAATGTCACCATTTTATCTAACGTCATAGCTATTCAACATAGCTACTAGAACTAATGCGTTAGTAAACCAGCTACAATCATGCAGTACACAGTTACACCGGTGGCAATAAATTCATAAAATCAAAAGCTTACCTTGTCTTGGAAGATTTGATTTGATTTGATTTGAAGAGTTCCAGTGTTGGATAGCCATAGCCAGCTAGCTAACATAGCGTCCCTCTCTGTTTGAGCTGGGTGTTTGAGTAGGCTAAACTAGCTAGCTGCATTCGCTAGCCAAGTGAAAGTGAAAGTGAAAACAAAATACAACGAAATATAGCTAGCTCTCTCTCTCTCCCTCTCCCTCTCTCCCTCTCACTTACTTCTCCTTCATTTTTAAATAAAAACATTTGTTCAAAACTGTTCAAATATTGTCTTTCTCTCTCTTTGAGTCAACCACTCATCACATTTTATGCACTGCAGTGCTAGCTAGCTGTAGCTTATGCTTTCAGTACTAGATTCATTCTCTGATCCTTTGATTGGGTGGACAACATGTCAGTTCTTGCTGCAAGAGCTCTGATAGGTTGGAGGACGTCCTCCGGAAGTTGTCATTATTACTGTGTAAGTCTATGGAAGGGGGTGAGAACCATGAGCCTCCTAGGTTTTGTATTGAAGTCAATGTACCCAGAGGAGGACGGAAACTAGCTGTCCTCTGGCTACACCATGGTGCTACCCTACAGAGTGCTGTTGAGGCTGCTGTAGACCTTCATTGCAAAACAGTGTGTTTTAATCAATTATTTGGTGACGTGAATAGATTTAGTATAGTTTTATCTAAAAAGGCTAACTTTGTTCATGTTTCACTATTTTTATTTTTATGAAATTCACTGAGGAGGATGGTCCTCCCCTTCCTCTTCTGAGGAGCCTCCACTGCTGTATACTTCCCAAAATGTGTTAATGCTTTAGAATACACCATTTGAAATTATATCAGTATATAAAATATTTAAATAAACATAAGAAAATACACATTTATACTATATTTGTAAATGTTTATATTTGGATGTTTATATTCATATGTGTATATATACACTGTAAAATGTATTTTCTATCGAAATGGGATATCCTCTAAGACTTTCATATCAAAATCTCTCTCACAATTTACAAAATAGGCCTTCTACACACCAGAATGTTGAGTTATATCTCAAAACGATTGTGTTATATATTGGGTTGTTTTGTTGAATGATTGTTGGTTATTAAGTTGTTTGATAGGAAAACCAACAGGTTAGGTTGTCCGCTACCTGTTTATTGTTTGTTATCTTTGTCATAGATAAAAAGTGAGATATGATGCTTATAGTTATCAAACACTATCTTTAGCATTATTTGTTCTCTCTTTATTTATCCAAACTTATCTGTATAATATTTAATTGTGGATACAGTATTGCCTTTCATATTCCTGTATCATTAAATTACATTAAAATAAATTGTATTTATTGTTTAGAGATATGATATCTTTTCATGGTGGTGAGTTTACAATGCATGTCGTAATGTGTGCTGTGTGCTATTCTTACTGTCATGCAAAATCAAATACTTAGTTAATTTGTCCCGTAGGTCATTCACTCTTTGGTCAAAAGCTACAGCTGCAAGATATTGGCTATCATATATTTTATGTCTTTCACGGCACACCCTAACTTTTAAATATTATCTAGATGGTTTTCCGTAAAGCACAATAACATATATCTTGTCATAACTTCAAGTTATTTTTAAGGAATTAAACACATGGGGTAAACACATAATTTGTGAGTAAAAAATATTTATTGTTAAGTTTGTGTACATATGCATTCAGGCACATTCATTCAACATAAACAGTAGGTGTAATATCCATACTACCATTATTGAAATGTTAAAAAATAGTTTTTTCCAGACAAACTACCAAAATGTTTGGAGATAATACTGTACATAGCATTACATTCAATTGAATACATATTTACAGTACAGTGATGTAAGGATCATGCTAAATATTGTAACATTGAAAACTACACTACAAAAACAATACAAATACGTTTTAGACCCTGTTAAATAAATTACAATAAATAATATCATTTTGTACATAGTCTTGGAAGAATATGATATAACGGGCCACATGAGACTAACAAAATGTACCTTCCAAATAAAATAGTACAGTTCAGAGTCATCGCTCCACAGTAACTTCTCTCAAAATCCATAGATGATGGATAATGTTGGGTATTTTTGTTTGTTTAGCCGTTGAAAATAACGTTAGTAATGTCACTAATTGAGCATGACAAATATTATTTTCTTAAGTCCTTTGAAAACATTATCCCTTCTATTTCAGTATGCAGCACTAGCACATTTTATCTAATGGCTCGCCAAAGGGAAAAGGTTTGTTCCGACTCTTTTTTTTGTCCTTGCCTGGGCTTGCCCCGAAGGACTCAAGCACAGTGGCATTTGCTGACAATCAAGTCATTGAAGGGTGTGAGCTTCAACTTTCCCCGACTGTCGTAGTGCATGAGGATCACAGGCTCGTAGGCAGCCGGCACGCAACAGGGGCGAGGTGTTGCTCCCTTGTTGATGTGGTGAAGACGAGACTTCGCCTGCGCGTGCATGCTGGCTGGCTTGTAGTTGTGGGGACAGGAGCCGTCGCAGAAGTGCATGTTGTAACCGGCGGGGGCCACGACCCAGTCTGACCAGCCAATCTCCTTGAAGGACACGTTGATGGATTTTCGGCAGCAGCGACCGTCTTCATCGCAGTTGTCCTCTTTGTTGGAGCGAGTCCGTCTCCTTCTGCCTGCTGATCTAGGTTCTACAAGGTCTACCTCCAGGACCATCTGAGGGCTCGTCTTGGGATCAGTTCCCTCTTCTACGCCCAGTCCTACTTCCACAACCAGAGAGTGGCCGTCCGACCTCCCCCTCCACTTATCAACCACAGTTCTGATGTCCAAAGTCAAATCACCAGTTCTTGCAGCGACCGTCTGAAGAAGGGTCTCTATGTGAATCAATAGAGAAGAGTTCAGCGGTTTCGTCTCATAGATCTTCACATGAACCTCTTCCCTAATCATGGGCTCAGCAGCTTTAGACCCATCCAACAGCTGTCTGTAGAGCTTCAGCTCAGCCCGGGCCAAAGTGAGCTCCTTCCTGATGTGTGGATTCTTGTGGAATACAGCTCTGTACCAAAGCACATCTGATGGGTGTTCCTCATCACTCTGAAGCACTTCGACAGGCTCCACTGAAAGAGATGAAAAGAGGGTTGTTACACAAATGCTCAAGTTCTTAGAATTACTGTCATTACTTGAATAGGTTGTGCTTTTAAGAGTTTTAATGGATGTGTCTTGTCAAAAAAAGAAAATTACATCAAACGATTTAAAACGAAGCTTTGGAGAAGAGGTACTGTATTACTATCCAGCCTTTGCTAAGACCACATGTTAATGGTAGGCTTTTGTTGGAGTGCACACAAAAACAAAGCACTTTAAGACTAAATTGCTCCTCAGAGCATGACTTACTCATTCTCACAACATATGGTTTCAGAAAACACTCACAGGTACATTAAGATACATTTTTAAAAATGTGTTTGAAGGCTTTTTGTTAGTTTTGTCATAAAATTCTTCTTCTTGAAGACACAACCATGGGATAATGTTTTGGTACACAGGTACACACCTTTTACAAAGCCCAAGCCATTGGCTTTGGCTTCCAACTCAGATCTTTTCTTCTATAAGTTATTAATACACTTTGCATAAAGGCAACAGTCAGATCACTATCTAAAGCCAGAATGTCAACAGTCGGGTCCTGTATTGTGGTAGAAACCAGTACAGTAGGGACTCACCTGTGGCTGGATGAAGCACAGTGGATGTCCTCCTTGTGGAATGATGGGTTTCCCCCTCCTGACTGGAGTTCCCTGTCAGCTGCCTCAGTGTTTCCCTGTAGAGCCAATGCATCCTCCTCAGCTCCTCTTCTGAAGCCATTTCCCTGGGCCTGGCCTCCCTCTCCATCCCCATGGAGCTCAGGATCCCTGTCTTCACTGCCTCCAAGACCAGGGCCCTCTGGCTCTCCTCCTGCCCCAGGCGGAGTGTACCTTCTTGGGCCAGGCGGGGCCGGCCCTCCCCCTGACAGAGGCTGGAGAGGAGGGCCACCCAAGAGAAGAGAAAGCGCTGTGTGACTGAGCTAGGCATGGTAGGTTTGTTCTCAGAGGAGCTGTCAATGTTATGAATGAAATTTCAGACATGCTTTCATTTATACAGCTCCTGCAAGGCCACACCTCTCCTCTGTCAGGTGAGCACTCCTTCTGCGCTTATACTGTATGTATTGTCATCATTATGTAAAGGATTTATATATATATATATATATATATATATATATAAATATATATATATATATATATATATATATATATATATATATACAGTACCAGTCAAAAGTTTGGACACACCTACTCATTCCAGGATTTTTTTGGTACCCTTCCCCAGAGAGAGAATGCCAAGAATGTGCAAAGCTGTCATCAAGGCAAAAGGTGACTACTTTGAATAATCTAAATATATTTTGATTTGTTTAACACTTTTTTGGTTACTACATGATTCCATAGGTGTTATTTCATAGTTTTGATGTCTTCCCTATTATTCTACAATGTAGAAAATAGTAAAAATAAAGAAAAACCCTTGAATGAGTAGGTGTGTCCAAACTTTTGACTGGTACTGTATATATATACAGTGCATTCGGAAAGTATTCAGACCCCTTCCCTTTTTCCACATTTTGTTACATTACAGCCTTATTCTAAAATTGATTAAATAAATTTTTTCCCTCATCAATCTACACACAATACCCCATAATGACAAAGTGAAAACAGGTTTTTAGATATTTTGCAAATTTATTAAAAATAAAGAACAGAAATACCTTATTTACATAAGTATTCAGACCCTTTGATATGAGACTCAAAATTGAGCTCAGGTGCATCCTGTTTCCATTGATCATCCTTGAGATGTTTCTACAACTTGATTGGAGTCCACCTGTGGTAAATTCAATTGATTGGACATGATTTGGAAAGGCACACACCTGTCTATATAAGGTCCCATAGTTGACAGTGCATGTCAGAGCAAAAACCAAGCCATAAGGTTGAAGGAATTGTCCGTAGAGCTCAGAGACAGGATTGTGTCGAGGCACAGATCTGGGGAAGGGTACCAAAAAATGTCTGCAGCATTGAAGGTCCCTAAGAACACAGTGGCCTCCATCATTCTTAAATGTAAGAAGTTTGGAACCACCAAGACTCTTCCTAGAGCTTGCCGCCCGGCCAAACTGAGCAATCAGGGGAGAAGGGCCTTGGTCAAGGAGGTGACCAAGAACCCGATGGTCACTCTGACAGAGCTCCAGAGTTCCTCTGTGGAGATGAGAGAACCTTCCAGAAGGACAACCATCTCTGCAGCACTCCATCAATCAGGCCTTTATGGTAGAGTGGCATGACAGCATCATGCTGTGATGTTTTTCAGCAGCAGGGACTGGGAGACCAGTCAGGATCGAGGGAAAGATGAACGGAGCAAAGTACATAGAGGTCCTTGATGAAAACCTGCTCCAGAGAGCTCAGGACCTCAGACTGGGACAAAGGTTCACCTTCCAACAGGACAACGACCCTAAGCACACAACCAAGACAACGCAGGAGTGGCTTCGGGACAAGTCTCTGAATGTCTTTGAGTGGCCCAGCCAGAGCCCGGACTTGAACCCGATTGAACATCTCTGGAGAGACCTGAAAATAGCTGTGCAGCGACACTCCCCATCCAACCTGACAGAGCTTGAGAGGATCTACAGAGAAGAATGGGATAAACTCTCCAAATACAGGTGTGCCAAGCTTGTATCGCCATACCCAAGAAGACTTGAGGCTGTAATCACTGCCAAAGGTGCTTCAACAAAGTACTGAGTAAAGGGTCTGAATACTTATGTAAATGTGATATTTCCGGGGGGTTTTGTAATACATTTGCAAAAATTATTATAGTGGATGGATCTGTGGAAAGGGTTCTACATGGAACCCAAAAGGGTTCTACCTGGAACCAGAAGGGGTATACCTCTAACCAAAAAGGATTCTTCAACGGGTTCTTCTATGGGGACAGCCGAATAACCCTTTTAGGTTCTAGATATCACTTTTTTTTAACAGTCACTGACATGATGAAATAATCATGTGCTCTGTAAATTCCACCTCGGGATAAAAGTGTGTGAAAGGTGACCAAGTATGAATCATCGGCAGACCGACAGTGACATAACATTTCTCATGACAGGGTGAGCAAACATAACAGGCTATTGAGTAATCAGCCTTAAGCCCGTTGCCAGCATTACAAAGGAAAGGTGCTATTTTTGAGACTGGAAGGCAAACTGCAACAATTTCATCACCTGTGAACTGATGATAGAGCGCTGCCACTCCCAATCACAAGCACATTCTGGAATCCGCGAGGGCATTAGCTTGTTTCAAGTGACAGTGCTGTATAGCCTATTGGAGTTGGGCTCAATTCTAATTAGGGGCAGTCAATTCAGGAAGTGATTTGAATAAAAAATTCAGAAATTTAAAAAAGTTTTAAATAAATATCTTCTACTTTTCAGTTTATTGAGAAGTCATTGAAAATATATGCCGTTTTCCAATTATTTAATTGTAATTTTAGTTTACTTCCTGAATTGACTTGCTTTAATTGGCATTGAGCCCAACCCTGTGGCCTATATGGGTGACCACTCATTCTTCACTTCATTTTCATGCCATCTAACTAATGGAATGGGTAGACATTTGGGCATGCTCCTTTCAAGAGTTGGTCAATGTATTTAGAAGGTGTATAATAATAATATGCCATTTAGCAGACGCTTTTATCCAAAGCGACTTACAGTCATGCGTGCATACATTTTTTTTTTTTTTTGTGTATGGGTGGTCCCAGGGATCGAACCCACTACCTTGGCGTTATAAGCGCCGTGCTCTACCAGCTGAGCTACAGAGGAACGATCGTGACAAAGGGTCAGATTTCCGGGGGTTGTAGAATAAAACTGACATGAATAACTTTGCTATCCCTAGTTCCTTATATAGTGTATGTAGCTTGAATCGTTTTATAAGAATGTATCAATATTTAACAATTGTTTTCTAACTATTATTATTATTAATTTTTTTATACAATGTAGCAATGTCAATGGAGGTATGACAAGCAAGGATGTCACTTTGTGTCAATTCTATTAATTGAGCTTTCAATTACATTTCAATTAAGTTTTAAATTCATGAATGATGAATTATAAAATGTATTGAATAACTACAACCTGAATAGGATTGACCATAAGAAACATAAGCGCTAGTGGGTATTCTCTTCCCTAATATCTCACACAATTTCCCCCTCATTAAGAAGGCCCTGAGTTTTCCTGACAAAATGACCTGACCGGGAAAAACTCTGAGCCCTACTTAGATAACGTTCAACGTCATACAGATGTAGGATCTTAATTTGATCACCCCGTTGCAGGAAAACTTTCCTGCAATGCAGTAAATGTAAGACTTGTAGTGTATTTTACATTTAAAAAGGCTTCTGAAATGTGTAATTTCCACTTTCAAATTTCAGACTTGATTTTCACTTATGAAAAATGTATCAGCCCCTACAAAAATTCATTATAATTATAATCCACATAATAATTCACATTTCCTGTTGCTGCAGGAGTATTTGCCTGCTGTAGCAAATTGGCTCAATTAAGATCCTACATTTGTATAAATTGACCACATGGCATCTTTTGTTTAGTTGAGTCATTAATTTCCTATGAAGATGTGAGATGGATTTCTGTAGGACTGCATGGTTTACTTCACGCTCCATTCACAAACAACAGTCTCGTGTTTGCGTGTGTACGCTGTGTGGTGTCCCATCAGGAGGCAGTGCGTAAACATTGATCCTTATACACACACTGTGTGAAAGGCTCTTCAGGGCAGATTGTCAAGGAGGCAGGGTGAGGATGTAGCTTCCAGTGAGGAAGCCTAACAGGACATACTGTAGAATGGCTGCATGTCTCCCTCTAGTGACACTGATAATATAATGCGTTCTAAAGCGGCAATCGGCAGTAGAAACAATAACAAAGTGTCATCCCCTGCCCCTGGTTCGGTAAAAAGCTGAGGGATGGGGCTGGAGAAATGTAACCACTCTCAAATTCATGGATATAGTTTTAACCATGATTTGAGCCTATACATTGTGTTTGTTTATATTAACTTCAACAAACATTGGAGTGAAACAAGCTTATATTTAGGGTTCTGATGGGGTACGACAGTTGAAATAAGTTCATGAGGCATTATTTATAAGTTATATTCTTCAAGAGCCAATGGGTACATCATACAGTATCATTAATTAGTCCAAAAATTGATGTAGAAACTGCTGATTGCCCCTTTAAGCAGATATGCTCTGGGTAAAAATTGCCCTACACACAGATCTAGGGTTAGAGTTAGGACCAGAACCATTAGCGGAGAAAATACCAATCTGGCCTTGGATCAGTGTTTAGGGGCATTTTCATTCTATATCTGAAGCCTGGGGCTGAATTCATTTTGTAGTTGCTTTGATATCATGTAATGGCCTACATAAAGTATCATGATAGTGTATGCCTATAAGATCTAACGTGTCCTCTGTAGATGTATAGCAAAAAAAATTAGCAAACTGCAGCAAGTTTCAGTTGTGTACTACATGTCCTTAATGACACCCCACATCACAGAACAGTACATGCATCTGGTTGGATCCTGTTGGGCAACCGGGTGTACTTTCAGTTTTGCTCTGTTGCTGTGGCTTGTAGTGGACGAGGAACAGTAGAGGAGGAGGAGAGAGCAAAAGAGAGAGACTTTTCTATGACATTTTCATGGCTGAATAGTTCTCCTAACAATCACTGATCATTTACAATTGACCTGCCTCGCATCCCAATGCAAAGGGCATATAGCAAAAAGAGGACAAATAAAGTGGCCCGTAAACGTTCTATATTGTGCCTCGGGCAAAACCAAATGAACCTTCTTAATGATAAGGTTGGATGCATAGTTTTTCAATCCCCCCTTGACTGAAAATAATTGCAGACAATTTGATGGTAAGAGAATATAAATGGATATGAGATTGAAAAATACATATTAAATGAAAAGGGATAAGGATAAGGGATGACCATGATGACATTGAACCTCTGTAGATGACAGACGTACTAGGCCTATCTT